ATCCTGGTTGCCTTAATAGCACATATCCGTCTGGAAGGCATCTCAATATTCCATTATCTCGACGACATCTTGATTCTCTCACACAGCAGAGATATTCTCCTTCTTCATCGAGATCGGGTTCTTTCAATTCTTCAAAATTTGGATGGTTGGTAAACCTCAAGAAGAGTCAGCTTTCCCCCTCTCAAGTTATGATATACTTAGGGGCAAGATTTGACACAATCCAGTCACAGGTCTCCCTATCCTTGGACAGGGGGCTTCGTATTCAATCAAAGATCATTCGTCTTCTGCCTCTGAACTCCATCCCGGCCTGGGAATTTATGAGCCTTCTGGGAAGTTTGTCCTCTACAATAAGCCTTACGAAACGGGCCCAGCGGCATATGAGGATTCCACAAGAAGGGTTTCTATCCCAGTTTATGAACAAGGATCTGAATCAAGCAATCTCTTTATCATCAGAGATCAAGAAGGAACTGGCATGGTGGCTGATGAACGAGAATCTATATCAAGGGTATCCTCTGAGCAATATCCCTTGGGTTACTCTCACGACGGATGCTTGCCAATCAGGTTGGGGAGCTCATTTGGGCCTTATTCATGTTCAGGGGCAGTGGGAAAACAAACAGTATCCTCTAGTCTCGAATGTTTTAGAAGTGCAAGCAGTCTTCCAGGCTCTTCTGCACTTTCCTTGTCTGAAACAAAGTTGGGTGAGAGTAAGGATAGACAATACCTCTGCAGTGGCTTACATCAATCATCAGGGGAGTACAAAGAGCAAACGCTTAATGAAAGTGTTGACCCCACTTATGTCATGGTCAGAGAAGATTTTGAAGGGGATAAAGGCAGTTTACCTTCCAGGAAAGAACAATCAAGTGGCGGATTTCTTAAGCCGTATAACCCTGGATCCCACAGAATGGGAGTTAGCCCCTCTGGCATTCCAAAGCATAGTCCAGAAGTGGGGTCTTCCTCAGGTAGATCTGATGGCCACAGTGAAGAATCGCAAAGTGGGAAGGTTCTTCTCGTGTTACTTCGACCCTTTGGTGGAAGACCAGGATGCTCTCTGTTGCGAGTGGAAGTTCCATCTGGGGTATGTTTTTCCCCCAACTCCTCTGATTTTCCCCCTGCTGAGAAGGATCCTGCAGGAGCAAGCGACGATTCTCGCAGTAATTCCCTTCTGGCCCAGACGGCCTTGGTTTCCCCTGCTGCAGAAACTCTCTCAGGACATGCCTCTGAAATTCCCAGATCAACTCAGTCTCCTACAACAAGGTCCGATCTCTCACCCATCTCCTCAGTCTCTCAATTTAAGGGCTTGGAAATTGAGAAGCATCGTCTGTCCAGCAAAGGCTTCTCTTCTTCAGTAATTTCTACTCTTCTGAATGCCAGGAAGAAATCCACTTCTTCAGCTTACTATCGTATTTGGGACATCTTCTGTAGCTGGTGTTTGGCACATAATATTTCTCCTTTGTCTCCCAGTATCTGTGACATCCTTCAATTTTTACAGGACGGATTTGACAAGGGTTTGAGTCGCAGCTCCCTAAAAGTGCATACTTCAGCTATCTCTGCTCTGTTAGATCAGAAATTGGCATTTGATCCAGATATTGCTAGATTTTTTCAAGCCATTCTCAAGCTTCGTCCTCCAGTACGGTCTTGCTCCCCTCCTTGGGATTTACCTCTGGTTTTACAGGCCTTGTCTGATTCTCCATTTGAGCCCTTGGAGAGTGTTTCAATACTTACTCTTACGTTGAAAACCGTTCTGCTAAGCGCTCTCTCCTGTGAGTCTCCCTTTTTGATTCTTCAGGAAGACAGAGTGATCCTTCATACGATTCCAGTCTTCAGACCCAAGGTGGTTTCTGCTTTCCATATGAATCAGGACATCATTTTGTCAGCCTTTTTCCCTCATCCCTGATCGGAAGAAGAAGAAAAATGGCATCGTTTGGATCTGGTGCGCTGTTTATCTACATACCTGAACCAAACTTCAGTCATAAGAAAGACATCTAGACTGTTCATTATTCCTTCAGGTTACAAGAAGGGTCAAGCCGCTTCTTCGTCTCTTATTGGCCGATGGATCATCTCAGCCATTAGTCAGGCCTACTCATCCTCCGCAGTCCCTGTCCCTCAAGGCCTTAGAGCTCATTCTACCAGATCCTTGGCCCCTTCTTGGGCAGCTGCAGCCAACATTTCTGCGGATCGCATTTGTTCGGCAGCAACATGGTCCTCCTTCAACACGTTTATCAATCACTATCAGTTGGATGTAGTGCATTCATCTACCACAGAATTTGGTAGAAGTGTCCTCTCTGCTGCCTTATAGTTTGTGGATCAATAAACTGTATTTGCATGGATTTATGCGTTGTGGTTATTATTCTCCCTCCCTTACTCCTTTTAGCTTGGGTATAACCCATACGTAGTGCTGCCATGGATATATCCGGGGAAAACAGAAAATTTATGCCATACTTACCGATATTTTCTTTTCCCGGATATATGCCATGGCAGCACTGCGGTCCCACCCTCTTCTGAAATCATGTGTTGTTCCGTGGCTTTAAACTAAGACTGAGGTGGTATAGGGGGGAGTCTCTTTTATTTAGGAGGTGTTCCTGTCCAATTGAGAAGGGGAGGAGCTATACCCATACGTAGTGCTGCCATGGCATATATCCGGGAAAAGAAAATATCGGTAAGTATGGCATAAATTTTCTGTTATTGTCATAGTTTTGCAATATCGAGGTTAATTTACCACCACATTGAAACCACGCTATTTGACAACTCCAACATATTTTAAAACAATGACAATCCATTAGGAATTAAATATTTAATACTGTTTACATGTATTTAGTTTCTCAGGCAATGTTGGTAGAACATTTTCAGCCCTGCTCACCAATTTTATTACTCACCTAAAAATAATTGTATTACAAGTTAAAATATTGTTTTTATAAAAACACTACTATAATGAATAGTTTAGCCCCTTAGTAACATATCTTCATTTTGCTTGCTTGGTACTTGTCATATTTGCCATGTCATATTTGTTATGCTATGTGTTTGTTCATCTCCAATCTTTTTTATATAGACCTGGGACTCGAAATTGTTAGCCACGTATGCCCTTTCTGTGTTACTCATTTTTTGTTAAAGATTTATCAATTTATGAGTAAAATAAGTAAAAAACAAAACAAAGATAACTATTTTTATTAAGAATTAATTAAAAGGTATATTGACACTTTTCATTTGACCATTTTAACACCAATATCTGCTAATATTTATTCGTTTACACACATGTACATTACATTTTTGTTGTGTATTCCATGAATAACGCTGCTAGAGTAAAGAAAAATTGTGCTTAGCTATATCAGTATAGCAATAATCCCTTATATAAACCTTTACAAAGACAAACTATGTATCTTTCAGCTTTCAGACTTGAAATTCCAAAAGATTGATTTTGAACCTACATCTCATTTTGGGACATATTAGCGGATTCATCAATTCAAATTGCCCAAATTACCCAACAGCACTTTGAGTAATCTCACACAATATTTTATAAGCATTATCACAAGACCATTTTCAAATAGTTTTAAATCAGTATTTGTTGTATTTACTTTACTTTTTCATATGTATCTTGCAATTTTGCTTTACATTTTATAAATGTGATGTGTGCTACTGTAGTAACCCACCCAAATCATCCCCAGCTTCATCTCCTGAGAATATTAATACCCACTATGAATACATTGGCTAGAATATTATGAGGCTAAAGTCTACACATCCACATGGAAGAGGGAGTACCCATACAGCATTTAGAACCCAGTGGATTCCAAGCACTTAGAGGACACCAAGTAACATGTCTATATTAATATTTCATGTTGAAATCATTAAATCTAATACAATATCTATCTATCTATATATCTATCTATCTCTGTCTGCACATTTTCATTGACTTGGAAGGTGCTCTCCTCGAATATTGCTTAATGTCAACTACCGACCTAACTTAATCATAGATAAGTCCTTGTCTTTAAAGGGGCGCTCCAGGCTGGGATTGACTCTTTTATTATTTACTGAGCAAGTCGTCACACTTTACATCATCAAATGTCTGCTTTACCCACCTTCCCCATCCTGGACCTTCCTAGCAGTAGATATCTTAATCTAAAAGTGGAAACGTAATTGTCACTAACCTTAGCTGTCTGAGTTAGTTAAGTTACAATCTTTCTTTTAACTGAGCTACAGATCTGAAAAAAAATCTGAAAAAAGGCTTGGATTAGCCAAAACATTAATTGATTGCCATAGTGTATTGGAAATAGTTTCCACCTAAAATAAAAAACTGGATTGGAAGACCTGAGAGTGCAAAATTTTTTTTTGTAAATATATATATATATATATATATATATATATATATATATAGTGTAGATTGAAATAGCAGTATTAGTCCAGTAGAAAAGATGCTAAAATACCAGAGTATTGCATTATTTAATGATACTTTTTTTATTGGACTAACATAATATTAAAAAAGACAAGCTGGGGGTGGGGCCTGACCACTGACAGGATCAGACGTGCTCTGTCTGAGCTCCCGCATCAGGGCCTAAAAATCGGCGCTAACTGGAAGTCAAACGCAACCGCTGACCCACACTGGTGACCACATTGATATCCAGCTGCTGGTGTATGCAGGGATACGTCTTACAACCATGCCTGGCATCAAAGTGACCCGACAGAGGCCCGAGAGCTTGAGCTGGGACAAAAGGCCCCTCTCCCAGGTTTCCGACCCACCTCTGGACCGGTGGGGGTTATCCCGGTCTCCACGGGCAGCTATTACTGCTTCAATCTGGGCCCAAACAACCGCCCTGTTGCAGTACAATCACCGGGCAGTTCTCCTCAAGATGGCCGCTGCACATCAGCCATGTGCGCGACTCACTAGCAAGATCAAGCTGAACACAGAGTAGACCACCCAGTTCAGTCTGACCACCATAACTGACTGCCCCAGGGATATTCCAACTGACAACACTGTGCAGCTCAAGGTACAGGCTACCGTCAATAAGCAGAGAAAAGTGGGGCGAAAAAGAGTGGGACACCCCTGGACAATCTCTATAACGCAAACTCACTTCTGTTCTTGGAGGGCCTATTCAGGCTACAGTCCACTGGAGAGGAGTACCTGGAACAGAGGCTTTCGATACGGAGGAGCCCTCATCACAGACAGTGCCATCACACCCAAATACCCTACAGCCCCCAACCAGGCGAGACCTCTACCTCATACGTAAGGGTACACTCTTATGACCTCGAGGTGCGGGACTTCGCAACAACCGGAGGCTATAACGATGAATCACCTGAACTCTGCATCCCACGGACACATAACCGCATCAGCCTGCTTCCAAGCCGAGGTATTGGATGAGCTGAGACCTGCAACCAAGTGCAACACAATGGACTATCCCACCAAGCCCTCAAATACCTACCTGCACACACAGATCCACCAACGCACCACAACACAGAACAGGCACACACCGAGCACACGCTGGCACAAATAGTCACACCAAAATAAATAGCACCTCACTACATAACATTCAGGGAGAGTACCTGGCGACCGGTACCGCGACCTCACACACAGCATGACCTGACACCCGTGGTTTTCAAAACATCTGGTCCAAACAAACACCCTAAGCAAACACGAAGCAATTCAGCACCTACACTGATGGGCCAAATTGCTTAGCATATACATGTTTCTCCTGAGAGTCATCACAGATACCTGGCGTAAACCTAACGTAGCATGACGTGTAAACGTAATGTCTTACCTACTCTGTGTTTTGACTACTCAAGCCTGTCGTTATTGTACAAAAATGTATGTCCCTCACTTATTCATATTTAAGCATAATCGTATCAATGCCTAGATATTAATGCGACAACACTCTATATAATAAGCATGAACTAAATATATTCCCTAAGCATGTTACTCTTAAGGGTTATAGGATTAGCCAATTATAATGCTACTAACCGCTGAGACATATAGACTTGTCGTGTAACAATGCTTTTCCTTTAATAATATAAAATGTGCAATGTTCCTCATATCACACAATTGTTATGTTGTGGCAGTGCAATCCTGTCTATCTAAACTATGCACGAATAAATTAAAGAAGTAAAAAAAAAAAGACAAGCTAGTTCTTTTTCAATATTTTCGCTTCATCTTTATTTCATCAAGTTATGTATATGTGTGTGTATGTGTATATATGCAGCTGTATATTTGTATGCCCTGCTCCTTTCTTTTTTTTTTTTCTCCGTTTGAAAAACCATCAGTTATTTTAACTGCTAAACTCTGATTGATCAGTATTACTTCAGACCTGAGGAAGAGAAGAAAACTCTTGAAAGCTTGTCTTTGAAATGTTATGTTAGTCCATTAAAAAAGTATAATTAAATACTGCAATTCTCTGGTATTTTGGCATTATATATAAAAAAATAAATATATATATATATATATATATATATATATATATATATATATATAAACTATGTTACATTTCCAAACATATAATTATTTTTGTAAGTCAAACCATATACATTAATACACATTGTGTTGGTGCAAAGAGTGTCCCTTTAATCCATTAATTTATTTAAAATGGTTATGCCAATAATCTGTACTCTAGAGTAGTGGTTCCCAACCCAGTCCTCAAGTGCCACCTAACAATCCAGGATTTAGGGATCAGTTGTGTCTAAAGTGTTTATAGAAAGAAAGAAAAAAACACACTTTAGACATAACAGGGTAATCCCTAAATCTTGGACTGGTAGGGGGTACTTGAGAACTGGGTTGGGAACCCCTGCACTAGAGAACAACTAAAATATTCACATATACACACACACACACACATATATATATATATATATATATATATATATATATATATACATATTTAAATCAAATTTAGGTCTAATGAGGAAGAAAATGTCTACTAATTTTGAACTGCTTAACAACAAATCAATTTTTTATAACATTTTCTACAGCAAATTAATTTTTTACTTTTTCTGCATACTTGGGTGCTGTGTAAGTATATAAGTCAAAAACAAGCAAAAATATAATTAAATGTACATAGGTAATCATCTCATTGAAATTAAATAACTTTAATACTAACACCATACTGTCCGTTCGGTGAAGAAATGACCATATGAAATTGGTTGCTGTCCAGGGTTCTGCAAATAGCTTAGAAAAATTCTATTAGAAAGTTTGGTGGCACAAAATTATCTTCAAGAAATATGCAAAATAAATACTAAACTTATAATACTTTGTATGTTTTTCATGTATGTTCTGAATTTACATGTACACAAAAGGATCAAAACAAAAATACTTGATTTGAGGGACAGTATGCTTAGATCTATACCGGTTTGCATTGCAGTACACACCGCTCTCTATGCGGAACTCCCTCTGCGGGTAAAAAAAATCCACGACATCAGTTGTAGAAAGTGATATTTTGCTATGAAGATAAATAAATGAAAGCAACTATAAAATGGGATCTAGTTAGTATTCTCTTAATACTCTGGGCCCTAGAAATGTGAATGTGAATGTGAATGTGAATTTGACCATAACTAAAATATGAATTTGATGACCTATAAAGTTATATACACATGATTTATATTTCATTTGGAGGGGCGTAGATGAATCACTCAATTAATTCTTGTAGTATATAAATGCTAGCAAATGGTGCATTATGCATAAACCTTTAGTAATAAAAAAGACTAGACAAACCTGGTCACCTATTTTAGATACATAGATGATTTGTTTTTTATCTGGGATGGCCCTGAGAACTCTCTGAACTTATTCCTACAACACCTCAATACTAATGATAAAGGTATTGTTTTAACTTGGGACTATAGCAAATCTTCTATTCACTTTTTAGATTTAGAAGTTTTTATTAGCAACGATCATATTCATACTAAAACTTTTTTTAAGAAGTTTGTACTAATAATGTTATTGATGTATCCAGTTGCCACCATAAACCTTGGCTCCAAGGAATTCCCAAAAGTCAACTTCTCCGTTTACGCAGGAAATTCCCAAAAGTCAACTTCTCCGTTTACGCAGGAATTGTTCCCTTACGCAAGATTTTGAGGAACAATCCAAATTGATGTCTAATAAATTTGCTCAAAAAAATTATTCTACAAGCAATTTAGAAAATACATTAAAAAATATCAGTGCTACTAATAGATCTGAATTATTAGAATATAAAAATCAAAAAGAGACCAAAATTGCCCCAGTATTGCCAATCATTTTCGACTTCAATAACAAAAGCAATGTTATGAAGAGAATTATAAACAAACATTGGCATATATTAAAACAGGATGAGACTTTATCTGGGATTATCCCTGAGAAACCACAAGTTATATTTAGAGGGGCACCCAGTTTTAAGTCCATCCTTACAAATAATTATACAAAACAGAGCACTTTATCCCCTAGTCCCTCCACCTTTTTAACTAAACCTAGTGGTTATTTTAAATGCAACAGATGCATAGTATGTAAGCGGACTAGTGATACTATTAAATCAAAAACGACATCATTCACATCAACAGTAACACATAAAGTACACCAAATAAAACACTTTATTCATTGCAACACAAAAAACGTAATTTATCTCCTAGAATGCCCTTGTGGTCTTCAGTATGTGGGCATGACCACTAGAGATCTTAAAACAAGATTGGCTGAACACTGTAGGAATATTCTAAAAGGCTATGAGAATCATTCAGTTTCGAAACATTTCCTACAACATGGAAAAAATCCAAAATACCTCAAATGTATTGGAATTGATACTTGTAGCATTCCGTGGAGAGGGGGAGATATTAAGAAAATATTAGGTAAAAAAGAAATGGAATGGGCATACAATTTAAAAACTCTTGCCCCTATAGGGTTAAACATTGACTTTGACCTTTTTAACTTTCTGGAATAATACAATCTGGATTTATATTTTTAATATTTGTTACCACCCTTTTTAAACCCATTCTTATCCACTTTCATTTATTTCATTTATTGTTATTCTACTTTTTATTATTATTATTGTTTTTTTATTATTTCCAACTAAATGTTTCTTATATGTTCTATCTTGCTTAAATTCTACTGCAATTAATAATTTTTATCAGCCTCAAAACAATTTTTCTTTTCACTATGTATATATATATTGTATTTTACTTAATCATTCCCAATATGTGCAGATCGATTATATATGGTTACATGTGTTAAACTGTCTTCATAATATATATGCTCAATATGTGCAGATCGATTATATATGGTTACATGTGTTATATGCTCAATATGAGCACTTTATATTCATGCCCATATATACTTCAGTGTGGAGTCTCCTGCTCCATTTTTGTGCCTCCCCCTTTTTGTTTATGCAGGGAGGTGCTCCCTCCCACTCTGTTACACATGCGTTCCACTGAGTTGGAACGCATGTGTTCCATCCCACTATCACGTGACGCGGAAGTAATTTCGGCCGCGCGTCACGTGATAATGACGCATGCGTTTCACTTGGTTGAAACGCATGCGTTCCATCCAAGCACCACGTGACGCGGAAGTAGTTAGATCCGCATGTCACGTGATCGCTTGTTTTATGCTGTTTTAAGCCTTTTAAATGCTCGTTTTTATTTCTGCTTTTTATATTTATACTATACCTCCTTATATTTTATAAATATACCCTTTTACTTTTATTTTGTTTAACATAAAATATACAATATTCCAATGACGTCATTCTGGCGGGAATTTCAAATTTCCATAGAAGTACTGTATGTTATATAAACCCTTGTATGTCAGGTGTGCCTTCCTTTATAATTATCTACTTGAAGAAGCCTTTTGAGGCGAAACGCGTCTAGATATTAGTATTTATTTTATTTATTTCTAATAAAGAATTTTATTTGGCATAAAATATTTTTATTGCCATTTTCTTTATATTCAATTTATTTTATTTTATTTTATAAATACCTGCACCTGACCTACATCTACAAAGAATTGAAAGAATCCAGAGAGAGCACTATTCTTTTATTCTCTCAATTTTGGGTTAAACTGATTGGAACACTGAATACGGATCTAGAATTCTCCAATCAAAGCACTACTCTACATATCCTTGAGTGGGGATCATTCCACTTCACGCGCATATATTGGAGCTAAATTTTAGCTCCAAAAAGTGTGAGTAGGACTATTTACACTATTCCAATATTTACACTGTGATTGATATACTGTACCATTGGAGTTTTCCCTTTTTTCTGTTTTCCTTTTATATACGTACCTCACCGGATTCAAGTACATCACTGTGAAGTCTCAACCCCGTCTGACGTCCCAAAGATTTGCTACCTCTACAAGGAGAAACTATTATAACGGACATTTGATAAGTGCTCTGGACTTTTATTCCATTTATCTTATTTTAT